GGCCCATTTCGTGTATTGCACCGCCTAGGCAATGCATGCACGATCGAGTTGCCACGTAAGATGCGAACGCATCCCACGTTTTACGTTGGTCGGCTTAAGCCGTACCATCAGTACGCTGCTTCTTCCGATGAAGAACGCCCTTGCGCTCAAGCATCTCGCAGAGAGCCTTGTGCTCCCGATGGTGGGCATCGACAAGGGTCTGAAGAGCAGTTATCTCAGCCCGAGACCGATCAACAATCCACACGAGCTACCCTTAGCTCGTCACGCAGAGATGTCAGAGCTCTCTCGTTCTCAAGATGAGCAAAGGCAAACGCAGCTCGATGCTTCGAGACAGTGTCCGCCATTTGGAGACGCCTGTCCCTCTCATGTTCGAGATCGTTGCGTAACGCAAGAGTGACGCGATCAAAGAAGCTCTCGGGAACACACGGATCCACATGATTGTGTGGAGAGCGTCTTCCCTCCTCCTCCACCTCCGTTAGAGGACTCTCGCGGTGGCCAGCGCTATCTAGTTGAGAAACTGTTGAACCACCGCGACGTGAACGGACGTCGGACGAGTTATCTCGTCCGGTGCCGCGGCTTTCCCCCGTCCTGGGATTCTTGGGAGCCCCGCTCCCAACTGATGGTTGACGTACTGGGTCTGGTCGAGCAGTACGACGCGGCACATCCTGTGCCGCAGAAGGACCGCCGGAGAAAGTCTTCCCGGCACGGTCGTAAAGGGATTTCAGGTTGTCAATCCCTTCGTACATCTCACAAGAAATGCGTACGCGCCACCACGGGCTGGTAAGGAGGTAAGCCTCCTTAGGTGCTCGTGCAGAGTTGTTCACACAACATTGGCACGAGTCTCCCCAAGAGAGTCAGGGTAATCCTTTCTCCCTTGACAGACGATGCAGCTTGTAGCGTGCACCTGTCGGGGTTCGCTTTTCAAACTTATCACGAGCTTTGATAATTTTGTCGTTCCAAGCGTCACGACCTACATCCTCGAGGTTATGGATGTAGGCGTTCCACGCTTGAAGTAGTGAGGGACCATCACGTTTGTGATTCCCACTGTACCATCGATGTCTAAAGAAAGCATCTATGTAGAATTCATTCTCAGCGCGATAGTTTTTCGCGCTGGGGTCAAGGTGATGGATCCTTGACGAATTGAACTATCGTGTTCGATAGCGATCACTCGTCGTCGCCGACAAGTGATCCATGACAGATTTAGGAGGCATCCATGCCTTCTTCTCGAGAACGAAGCGCAACACGCTGCGGTCCCGCTCTTCTTGCGACGTGCCGACAGAAGTACTGGTACCTCGCTGCGAAGTGGTGCCAATAGGAGAACCGACACCACGGTGATCGCCCGAGTCTCGCGACCTCGAGCGCCTTCGCTTTGGCGATGGTTCATCTGATTCATCAGATGAACCAAAGATGCTACGACGCATAGCATCATCCATGCCACGCTTGGCAGGCGGCTTGGATTCGATCGCCGTCGATACGGATCCGTCTTCCGTATCAGGAGAAAATGAGACACTGAGCTCATACTCTGTGAAGACATGAGTGTCTTCGTGACGAGCGCCTGCATCACCAGGTGCCACAGGCTGAGTCGCTTCAGCAACCGATGGGACATCAGTTGCTGTTGTTTCTGCTTCGGTGTCTGCACAGAGACGTGCGGACGCGCTCTCGGCGGCCTTGCTCGCGCACTGCATGGGCTTGTTAACCATGCGACGAAATGTTGGAAAGTGGACTCGGACCAACAAGTGCAAACCATGTCCCAAATGATTTGGACGAGTATCCATTTAGTCAATCAGTCACTAAAGTGACTGATGGTTAAAGGAGGGATGATGTTACTAGAAGGCTAAGGCAGTCGAGCACTGGATGGTAAAATACAAAGTTAATATATTTAGGTCTTTAGTTCACAAACTCTGTTGCTACTCTAAGCCTACAGGATTCTTCGACTACACGTTCCTCATCGTTATATCGCGCATTACTAATCGTATAGTCGCGCATTACCAAACGCCACATCGCGCATTACTAATCGTCTAGTCGCGCATTACTAATCGTCTAGTCGTACGTTTCTAATTCTGGTCGTGCGTTTCTGAACACACAAACATACCGAAAATGGGGTCGTCACTGTCTGGCAGTACAGTGCTGGTGAACCCCAAACACCAGATCCCGAAGGCTTAACTGGTTGTTTGTACGCCCCCACCGGTATCGAACCAGTGACCTTTGGGATGGTACTGCCATGCCAAATCGGCTGAGCTACAGAACACATTTCTGTCTAATCATGCCGAGACGTCTCTTTTACAACATTCCCAATTGTCTCGGTAGATGGTGGCGCCTTGATTCTCAACATGGTCCGAAGTTTCTGGAACTGTACGACGGTCATCGGCTAGGTCATCATATCAGCATTTTTGTCCTTAGTTGGGCAGTATCCTAGCACCACTTGTCCTTCAGCAACCTTTTCACGAGCAAAATGGTAGCGAATGTCGATGTGCTTCATGCGTTTGTGAAATTCTGGGTTCTTGGCCAATGCGATCGATCCTTGGTTGTCCTCGAAGATCTTGACAGCTTGGTTACTTGTCATCTCACCAAGTTCGCACAGGAACACCCTCAACCAAACTGCTTCTTGTGTAGCCTCCGATAGATCCATGTACTCTGCTTCCCTTGATGATAGTGCCACCTTTCGTTGCTTCTTGCTCCTCCAGCTGATGCGACTATTGTTCATTATGAAGGCGTAGCTACTTGTACTGCGCCTTGACTCTATGTCGCCGTCCCAGTCTGCATCCGAGTAGCCTTGAAGGCTGTCGTCTTCACTCGCTTGAAATTTAATTCCGTTTGTCCTGGTACCATTTACATACCGAAAAATTCTCTTGAGTGCTTGCCAGTGTGTTGGACACGGTTCGGAGGCAAACTGGCTGAGCACTCCAACTGCAGCTGCAAGGTCGGGACGGGTGCCCACCATAAGGTAGACAAGGCATCCTACGGCGTTCCGGTAGGGAAAACTTGCCATCGTTTCTTCATGCTTGCAACCTCCTTCGCACATGGCCTTGGTCAACTTCAGGCCTGGGTCTTGTGGCGACCCGACTGAATTGCTATTCAGCATGCCGAATTTCTCTAAAATATCTTTCGAGAACTTGTTCTGTCGCAATGACAGTTTTCCTCCTAAATCGTCCCGCTCAATCTCAATTCCAAGAAAGAACTTGAGCATCCCCATGTATGTCATCTCGAACCTCTCACTAAGTGCACTTTTGGCTTCACGAAGGATCTTGTTGCTGTTGCTGGCGATGATTAAATCATCGATGCAGAGTGCCACGAAGATCATGCGCTGCTCACCTCGCTTAATACAAATGCAGCAATCGGACTCGCATTTCTTGAATCCGATCTTGATCATGAACTTGTCGATGGTCTTGTTCCACATCCGCGGTGATTCTTTTAGTCCGTACAGTGACCGCTGCAGTTTGCAAACGAAATGCTCGTGATCTTCGTCGATGTAGCCGTCCAGTTGCTCCATGTAGCTGTCTACATCCAGATCACCGTTCAAAAACGCGGTCTTGACAATAATCTGGTGCACATCAAGGTGGTACTTGTCTGCCAGACTGAGAATGACTCTGATCGAAGTGAACTTGGCAACCGGAGCAAATGTTTCCCCGTAGTCGATGCCAAACTTCTGTGAGAACCCCTTTGCAACAAGGCGCGCTTTAAAACGCTCGATCCCACTATCTTGATTCTCTTTGACGCGGAACACCCATCTGCATCCGATAGTTTTCCGATCCTTAGGTAATCGCACCAACTGACATGTCTTGTTCTTGCGAAGGGAGTCGATTTCGGAGTCGCACGCTTCCTTCCACTTGACCGCGTTGTTGGATTCCATCGCCGACTTAAACGTTGTCGGCATATCTCCCACTGAATCCACAACGTAGGCTGTCTCAAAGTCTTCCTCGACTTGTGCCACCGCCGACATGTTTCTGAGCAAATTTTTTTGACTCTGCCGCTTGGAAACCGGAACCTCCACAGCTTGTTCCAACGAAGGGGTTCGCGTGTGGCGCTTACTGCCGGGCTATGTATCTTAATCTTGCGCAGCGTCTTCTTCGTCAGGCTGAATTAATGCGGAAGAACATTTATGACCTGAACTCTCATCTTTTTGACTTTCAAAGACATCTTCTGCGTCTCTTTCGGTGCGTCTCTCACTGTCAAAGACGTCTTCCATAAATTTTGCGTCGCGACTCACTAGAACACAACGGCTCTTGATCTTTTCAAAGCGATACGCTTTCTCGTGTTCATAGTATCCTATGAAGCGGCAATAGATTGACTGCGCATCAAACTTGGTGCGCTTTTGTTTCGGGACCGTCACGTATGCGTGACAACCGAACACCTTCAGATTTGAAAACAGCGGTTTCTTGCCGGTCCAGATTTGATGTGGCGACTTGTCTTGACTTGTGGCACGTGTTGGACATCGATCTCGAAGAAGTGTAGCGGTTACAACCGCTTCATCCCAATATTCCTTGGACAGTCCGGCATGCTCCAACATGCAGCGAGCGCATTCCACCAATGTCCTGTTCATCCGTTCTGCCACTCCGTTGAGTTAAGGTGTGTAGGGAGGCGTGAAATTTTGTACAATGCCACGACTGCTGCACAGCTTGGTCATTGCATGTGACTTAAACTCTCCGCCGTTATCACTGCAAAGTAGCTTGACGCGGTTGCCTGTCTGAGTCTCTGCAAATGCGACAAAATCGGCGAACTTAGAAGCCAATTCGGACTTGTTTTTAGGCAAGAACACCACACTAAGTGTGAATACTCGTCATTGAACGTGACAAAGTATCTGCTTTCACCAAGCGAAGCTGTTTACATAGGACCACAGACATTGCTGTGGATGACTTCTAGCATCTTCTTTGCACTCTCTGGGGACTTTGGCATAAAGCTCACTCGAGTTTGTTTGCCAAGAGCACACCCTTGACACATCTCCCACTGTTGCACAGACGTGATGTTGATGCCGATGCCGTAGCCCTTCTTTACAATGGAGTCTAGACCGTTATGGCCAATATGGCCAAGTCGAAGATGCCAGAGGTACGACCGGTTGGTCCCATTAAACCGGTTGAACTTGACACATTTGCCTCATCTGGCATGAGCGGGGTCATGCATAACTTGAGTAAGCCCTTTCCCTTACGCGTACCCAGCTGCCACTTCACACTCTTCGACTGAGCAAAGCACCCGTCACTTTCAAATGTGACGGGGTCAATGTTCTTCGTCAAACGCCCCACAAAGAACAGGTTGCGCGTCAACTTGGGAATGTGCCACACACCAGTAAGCACACCTTTCTTAACGCCGTGTTTTGTCCTCATTGACATGATGATGTCTCCCTTTCCCACTGCTTGTACCACGCCATCATCCGCCAACTGCACATCCACTGGCGAGATCTTCTGGTAGTTCTTCATGTACTCTTTTGAGTATGTCGTGTGCTGAGTCGCACATAAGTCGACCAGCCACTCTTCACTCAGCTTGATGTTATCTCCATCAGCTGAAAACAGAAATTCGCCAGAGTCTTCTTTAACCTGCGCGACGCTTGCTCTTTGCGACCTCTGCCGTTCCGCATTCTCGCGGATCTTCACTAGACACTTGGCAATCCAATGTCCTTGCTCGCCACAGTAGTGACATGCACTGGCCTTCTGCACAGGTCTTCCTCCTTTTCGCTTGCTGTGATTGCTTGTCATGAACGCTTGACCTTGACCGTGCGCGGATACGTCGCCGCCGCCACCTTGTTCCTTGCGCTTCATGTCTTCATGCATTAGCCGAGACGTCACGAGTTCTCACGACAGAGAGTCAGCACGAGACTCTAACGCCGTGATCAGAAACTGGTACTACTTGCTTAGACTACCAAGAAGCGTGATCACCAAGTCGACCTCGCTGACCGGAGCGCCAACCGCATCGAGCTGCTCCGCCAGAGTTTTGGCTTGTTGATGTGCTCCAGCACATTTTCACCTTCAGCCATCATCGTTGTGAAGAAGCGTCGACGAAGAAAGAGCTAGTTCGCCAGACTCTTCTTCTCGTAATGCCCTTCCAGTCTTGACCATGCATCATACGCTCCAATCGCTGAACGGAATAGCGGCAGCTGCGAATCTTCCATTGCGAGACAGATGATCGCCAGCTCCTTGCGTGACTTTCTCTAGAATGTCGATTGATCCATCACGTTGGTGCAGTGCTCCAGCTTGACTTCTCCACATGTGACCTCCCACAGGTCGCGCTCTTCCAGGACCATCTGCATTGTAAACTTCCATGTGTGGAAGTTGGTCCCTTGGAACTTGTTGATGCGGGCAGTCGGCGTTGCGGCAGCGTCCATGGCGAAGGCGCAGTCGGAGTCTTCGTTGGAGAAAACGGGGCTTGGGCTCATAACCTGAAGGCTAAGGCAGTCGACCAATAGATGGTAAAATGCAAAGTGAATGTTTTTAGGTCCTTAGTTCACAAACTCTGTTGCTACTCTAAGCCTACAGAATTCTTCGACTACACGTTCCTCATCGTTATATCGCGCATTACTAATCGTATAGTCGCGCATTACTAATCGCCACATCGCGCATTACTAATCGTCTAGTCGCGCATTACTAATCGTCTAGTCGTACGTTTCTAATTCTGGTCGTGCGTTTCTGAACACACAAACGTACCAAAAATGGGGGACGTCACTGTCTGGCAGTACAGTGCTGGTGAACCCCAAAAACCAGATCCCGAAGGCTTAACTGGTTGTTTGTACGCCCCCACCGGTATCGAACCAGTGACCTTTGGGATGGTACTGCCATGCCAAATCGGCTGAGCTACAGAACATATTTCTGTCTAATCATGCCGAGACGTCTCATTCACAACAGTAACGGGGTGAACCGTTACATGATTATTTATACGAAATTGTTAATAGAATATAACCATAAGAGTTAAATTCTCAGAATATTGCCGTAAGGACAAATATTCTGTAGCACTTACGAGTAGTTCCTAATTGGTCGATATAGGCCATTATATCAACCACCGAAGACGCGCCACGATAGCCGCACGCAATGAGTGGTGAGCAGATAGTTGATATACACATTTGTATTTAGACATAGTTAGATGAAGATAAATAGTGATTTATCGCAGACATTAACTATGATAAATACAGTTCTACTTTTTACTTTAACCAAGTACTCGCTTCTTCTACCGTCTTCCTCTGCACGTACCAGTGTGCGTGAAGTTACGCGGCACCGCCTTAATCTGTCATCAGAATAAGTAGCTTGTACTGTCACCAGTACAAGCTTCAGGGTGCCCCGTTACAGCGCAGATTTACCTTGAGTCAGCGGTGCTACATTAGTTATGTAATAAGGCACCTTAAGCTTGTACTGATGACAGTGCAAGCTACTTATTCTGATGACAGAATAAGGCGGTGCCTCGGAACTTCACGCACACTCGTACGTGCAGAGGAAGACGATAAGAAAAAGCGAGTACTTGGTTAAAGTAAAAAGTAGAACTGTATTTAGTAATAGTGAATGTCTGTAATAGACCCCCTGTTTAACCTCATCTAACTATGTCCAAATACAAATGTGTACATCAACTATCTGCTCACCACTCATTGCGCGCGTCTGTCGTGGCGCGTCTTCGTTGGTTGATATAATGGCCTATATCAACCAATCAGGAACTACTCGTAAGTGCTACAGAATATTTGTCCTTATGACAATTTTCTGAGAATATAACTCTCATAGTTATATTCTATTAACAATTTCTTATAAATTGTTATGTAACGATTCACCCCGTTACATCACCCCCCCCTTAACCATCAGTCACTTTAGTGACTGATTGACTAAATGGATACTCGTCCCAAATCATTTGGGACAGGGTTTGCACTTGTTGGTCCGAGTCCACTTTCCAACAATTCATCGCATGGTTAACAAGCCCATACGATGCGCGAGCAAGGCCGCCGAGAGCGCGTCCGCAAGTCTCTGTGCGGATGCCGAAGCAGAAACCACAGCAACTGATGTCTCATCGGTTGCTGAAGCGACCCAGCCTGTGTCACTTGGTGATGCAGGCGTTGGTCATGAAGACACTCATGTCTTCACAAAGTACGAGCTCGGTGTCTCATACTCTCCTGATACGGAAGACGGATCCGTATCGACGGCGATCGAATCCAAGCCGCCTGCCAAGCGTGGCATGGATGATGCTATGCGTCGTAGCATCTTTGGTTCATCTGATGAATCAGATGAACCATTGCCGAAGCGAAGGCGCTCGAGGTCGCGAGACTCGGGCGCTAACAGTGGTGTCGGTTCTCATATTGACACCACTTCGCAACGAGGTGCCAGTCCTTCAGTCGGCACGTCGCAAGAAGAGCGGGACCGCAGTATGTTGCTTCTCGCTCCCGAGAAGAAGGCATGGCTGCCTCCTAAATCTGTCATGGATCACTTGTCGGCGACGACGAGTGATCGCTATCGAACACGATAGTTCAATTCGTCAAGGATCCATCACCTTGACCCCAGCGCGAAAAACTATCGCGCTGAGAATGAATTCTACATAGATGCTTTCTTTAGACATCGATGGTACAGTGGGAATCACAAGCGTGATGGTCCCTCACTACTTCAAGCGTGGAACGCCTACATCCATAACCTTGAGGATGTAGGTCGTGACGTTTGGAACGACAAAATTATCAAAGCTCGTGATAAGTTTGAAAAGCGAACCCCTACAGGTGCACGCTACAAGCTGCATCGTCTGTCAAGGGAGAAAGGAGTACCCTGTCTCTCTTGGGGAGACTCGTGCCCATGTTGTGTGAACAACTCTGCACGAGCACCTAAGGAGGCTTACCTCCCTAATACCCCGTGGTGGCGCGTACGCATTTCTTGTGAGATGTACGAAGGGATTGACAACCTGAAATCCCTTTACGACCGTGCCGGGAAGACTTTCTCCGGCGGTCCTTCTGCGGCACAGGATGTGCCGTGTCGTACTGCTTAACCAAACCCAGTACGTCAACCATCAGTTGGGAGCGGGGCTCCCAAGAATCCCAGGATGGGGGAAAGCCGCGGCACCGGACGAGATAACTCGTCCGACGTCCGTTCACGTCGCGGTGGTTCAACAGTTGCTCAACTAGATAGCGCTGGCCACCGCGAGAGTCCTCTAACGGAGGTGGAGGAGGAGGGAAGACGCTCTCCACACAATCGTGGGGATCCGTGTGTTCCCGAGAGCTTCTTTGATCGCGTAACGCAAGGGTTACGCGGCGATCTCGAACATGAGCGGGACAGACGTCTCCAACTGGATGACGCTGTCTTGAAGCATCGATCAGAGCTTGCCTTTGCTCAGCTAGAGAACGAGAGAGCTCTGACATCTCTTCGTGACGAGCTAAGGGTAGCTCGTGTGGATTGTTGATCGGTCTCGGGCTGGGATAACTGCTCTTCAGACCCTTGTCGATGCCCACCATCGGGAGCACAAGGCTCTCTGCGAGATGCTTGAGCGCAAGGGCGTTCTTCATCGGAAGAAGCAGCGTACTGATGGTACGGCTTAAGCCGACCAACGTAAAACGTGGGATGCGTTCGCATCTTACGTGGCAACTCGATCGTGCATGCATTGCCTAGGCGGTGCAATACACGAAATGGGCCGATGCACCTGGGTAGTAGTTTACTGCTACCCAAGTTAATCACTACACGCTTTCGTAGATTAACCGTAGACAGTAGGACTAAGTCACCTTTATTAAATAAAAGAGTGTTTGCCCTTCCATTCTTGTCAGCGTTTTGCTTTTGCTTATCCACCGCTTCGGCGATGGAGTCTTGCACAAAACGGACTACCGTTTCACGAGCCAGTATGAACTCATCTGATGACTCGTTAGCTTCAGTGCGCTGTGAGCGCACTGCAGCAACATCAACCTTTTCTTCAGTGAGGCTTCCGCACTCTCACTGGCATCATCTTCTTCAATATCGATGTTATCGATATCGGCATCAAACGCAGTAACCTCTTCGTCAGAGCGTGATGAGCGTGAACCAAATCGGTTTTTGCTCGCGCGAGTCCCTCCCCCCCCTTAAACCAGAGTTACACTCTTGTAAGGTGGGTACACGTGGATGTCATAAGCCATTCACGTAAAACGGTGTATGTGTCGTGGACGCATGCGCAGAGTTGTTGATGGCAAACTCTACCAATGGCAAAACCTCACTCCGACTCTGAAAGGAGTGTACGTATCCTCGAAGTATCTCTTCAAGGACACGATTAGCACGTTCTGTCTGACCATCTGACTCTGGATGATCAGACGTAGACATCTTCAAGCGCGTTCCGAGTGATTTGAACACGGAACGCCAGAAATCAGCAGTGAATCGTGGATCTCTGTCTGATACGAGTTCACGGGGCAACCCTTGAAGTCGGAAGATGGTGTCAATAAAGACACAAGCACAGCCACTTGCCGTGATTGACTCTGGTACAGCCACTAGGTGTACCATTTTGCTGAATTTGTCAACAAATACAAGAATACCCGTATTCCCGCGTGCGTCTTTGGGTAACCCGAAGACGAAATCCATCGAGATGGATTCCCAGTACTCAGCCGGAACCGGTAGAGGCTGTAAAGGTGCATGCATTGAAGGACTTGACTTCACTCGTTGACAGACTTCGCATGCGCGAACATACTTTCGCACAAACTGATACTGGCGGGGCCAGTAAAAGTCTCGACTCACCGTGAGATCCGTTTTCTCCCGGCCACGATGTCCTCCTATAGGAGCATCGTGATACTCGAACATGATCCGCAAACGCAGATCAGTATCATCTGGAATGACAACACGTGGTGTGTCACCATTAACGGCTGTACAATACAGTAAACCGTTGCGAGTAGTGTATCGATCTGATGCAGATCGACGTGCAGACTATAATCGTTTCAACGATTCTCGAGATGGTTGTAAGGGATGTGTCAACAACTTCACAATCTCACCATCTTGGGCGTATGCCCGCCTCACATCATCATACAACGTTGTAGATGGGACTGAGGACGTCATAACCGCAACAGTGACTGTCTCACTGTTGGGTTTCATGACTGGTTCAAAGTCGGGACGACGTGAGAGTGCATCAGCGACGACATTAAGTCGTCCTGGTTTGTACTCGACCGTAAAGTTGTATTCTGCAAAGAATGACAACCACCGCGCCATTCGTTGTGAGAGGTGCGGGCTGTTCACTGCCGTGCGTAATGACGCATGCTCAAAGTAAACAATGAAGGGTCTATCTCCTAAGAGATAGACTCTGAGCTTCGCGAGTGCATACTTCATGGCAAGGAGTTCCTTGTCATGCACTGGATAGTTCCGCTCAGCTGGTTGCAGCTGACGCGGCTGATAGCAGACGACGCGTTCAACGCCTTCAAGATCGTACTGCATTAATGCACAGCCGATTGAGAAATCGCTGGCATCACAGACCACATGAAATGGCCTGTCCTGATCGGCTATTGCTAGGACTGGGGATTGCATCAAGCTCTGCTTGATACCATCAAAGGAGCGCTGACATTCAGCGTTCCATAACCACCTCTCGTTCTTTTTCAACAAACGAGAGAGGTGCACAGTCATCTCGGCGTAATTGCGTGAATACTAATGCAAATACGCCGCTAGCCCAAGGAATTTTCGAAGACCTTTGACATCGACCGGCACAGGCCAGTCGGTGATCGCCTTGATCTTTTCGGGATCAGGACGTACACCGTTCTTACCAACGATGCACCCAAGAAGTGGTATTTCACTTGCTGCAAATATACACTTCTTGAGGTTTGCATACAATTGATGCTTTCGCATGATTGTAAGAACTTGTCGGACGTGGTACCTGTGAACCTCAACATCCGACTTTCCATCCATAGCTCGACTATGGATGAATACGTCATCGAAATAACTCGGCGCGAATTCTCGTACTGGTCTCAACAGATGTGATACACATCTGTTGAACGTGGCAGGGGCATTACTAAGCCCTTGTGGCATTACTAGCCATTCCCAGAGCATGCCGCTAGGCGTGCTCAATGCGGTATAGGGTATATACCGTTCTCGCATAAGGCTTTGATAGAAGCCATCCATCAAATCCATGGACGAAAAGATGGTACTCTTTGACATACCATCAATGATTACGTCCTTCCTCGGTATCGGCGTCTGAGCCGGTACCGTTGCAGCATTCAACTTGTTAAATGCATGCACTATCCGCCACCCTCCTGTTGCTTTTCGCACACAGAAGGTCGGAGAGCTATGTGGGGAAGTTGATTCCCTCACATGGCCCGCAGCTAAACGATCGGCAAAGAACTTGTCGATCGCAAGTACTTGTTCACGAGGCAGTGGCCACTGCTTCATGATACAGTAATTCGAGCCAGGTTTAAGCTCGACCTCGTGTCGAATACCTTTATCCTTCGGTAATTCGCTCGGAACAGTTTCAGGGAATGCATCCTTGAATTCAACCAAATCCTCATAGAGACGATTTGTCTTGAGCGATTCCCATGATTGGGAGTCATATCGCTCAACTCGTGTCTTTTCATCTAGGACACTCTCGTCCATAGATGAACTACTGAGAACTCTCTCGTTCTCAGTAAACACTGTTGCTGACCTTATGTCGGTTACACACTCGTCGTCAGCGACGAGTACGCAGATCTGCTTGACTTTGCCACTACGCAGATCACGCAAGAACCTTTTATGTTTGAGCGTTGGCAACTGAGTGATCTCCAAAGTCAACTTCGGAGGCGCAATCAGATCAAGTGTATAAGCGCCTACACTTGATCCATCATTGACTAGGACATTCAATGTCTCTGTCATATCCTGGGGACTTATTCCCTCAGGCCTCGAAGGACTTATTCCTTCGGCTTCCCGGGGACTTATTCCCGCGGGTTTCGGGGAACTTATCTCCGCCGTATTTGTAATATTGGGACTTATTCCCTTTACTTCCTCTAGCTGTGGTTGCGCAACCACAGCGAGATCCTCTAGGAAAGACTCTCCAGTCGATCTAGGATTATCGTTTCGCTTAACCTGAGCGATCGATTGTTTCTCTTCTAGATGTTCCCCGCTAGGGATACATCTTTGTCCCGGTCCACCCGACTTATTCGAGTGGTGGACCTTCGGCGCAGCCTGTGTTTCCTCACAGCCGCCGGAACTTTGCTCCGAAGTGTAACCGTTTGTTACACTAAGGTTTTGTGCAGTCGTACTAACGACAGTACCACAAGTGAGGCCATCGCACTCGCTCGTAGTACATCCACACGCTTGTGGACGCTCCAAAACGTTCATCAGGTGGCCATCTGATGAACAAGCGGCAGGCATCGTTACTGGTCGATGTTGCCAGTTTACCCGTGGTTCGTACCTTCTGAGCCACGGTATTCCAAGGATGACATCAAATTTGTCATCCAAATCCAGTACGATAAAGTCATCGTCATATTGGGTATCTTCTAGCGTATAGTGAATCTTCACTATACGCTTCATGACGGTTACGGATGCGCCTGTCGCAAGACGTACCGTCATCCTCGTAGGAGGTGTGTCACATTCACTGAATTTAAAGTGACCATCTTCTAGCGATTGGCGTCGCACAAAATTGTTAGACGCCCCACAATCGACTAGAGCTCGAAGGGACAACTTATTCGTCACTTCGAGTTTCAAGGTAATGAGTGAGATCTCATTACCTAGAGCAGCAACGCACAACGTCTGTGTGTTGGGAGCAACCTTCATCAAGAGGCCTACAAATTCTCTTGACGTTGCTGGATCAGTAGGGTGCTCCGCACCTACTGATCCTGTCCGTTTTTGACGGTCCATCCCGTTGTTGCGTCTTTGCACCAACTGCGGACCCTCGTCCCTGCCCCTTTCTCATGGGTGGACGGTCACTACGCCCAGTGTCGCGAGACACTGGACGAGGGGCACTACACTCGTAAGCGTAGTGTCCTGTCTTTTGACATCTGTTGCATCTCTGCAACTTCTTGTAGCCTGTAGAGCGAACCTTCTCGCTCTCTACATAACAGAGTTCCATCGGCTCTGGACCTCCGTTGTCATATCGTCTCGGTTGACGATATGATGTCGAGCTGGCGCGAGCCTGTCTCAGACTGAAGTCTTCCTGCTCCGCAATGGAAATGGCTTGTTCTAGTGAATCTAGTTCAAGCCGGAACAGGTGAGTCTTGACGGGACCATCCGCAAGACCCTGCATGAACACCGAAACCAACGTGTGTTCATCCACCGGATTGGAACTTATACAACTCGTGAGATGTCGTATATGTTGAGCGTAAGCGTGCACATCACGCTTACCCTGCTTGAGCTTCAAGAGTTCGGTTCGAGCTCTGAACTCAGCTCTAGGCGGTTCAAACGTTTGTCTGAGCCGCGACTTGAAGACTTCCAACGACCCAAACGCATATGGGTCGTGCAGCTTGAGCCCCAGTGCCCAAGTCTTGGCACGTCCTGCCAGATTTGACTGGGCAAATGCAACTTGCATATCCCCGTCGTCGATGCGACGCGCCCTTATGGCGTCATCCAATTCGACGAACCATCTCAAGAGGGAGTCTTCTTCGACCCCTCTATACTTTGAGATGTCAATCTTCAAAGTCTCGGGTCGACGCGAGTGCATCGACCCGCCAGCAGCAGCTTGCTGCTGTCTCAACAGTTCAAACTGTTGAGCACCTTGTTCTCTCAACAACTCTGCTTGTTGAGAACCTTGTTGGTGAAGCAAGGCTACTTTCTCGCGTTCTGCGTCAAGTTCATTTTGAATGAACTTGGCGATAGTAGCATGTTGGGCATCTCTATCGAGAGCCTCTAGCATGACGCTAACAGCATGGATGCCCATGGTTGAACCCATCCGTTCAACCGCATCCCATTCGACATCGCTCAAATGGGAGTAGCTATCACGCGTAGCGTGAACGCTTTGGTCATCTCCATCATCTAACATGTTCAAGTTAGATGTGAACGTGGTCCTTGGACGGACTACGAAGTGCTACCAGGTGTAACGGGTCACCCTGAAGCTTGTACTGATGACAGTGCAAGCTACTTATTCTGATGACAGAATAAGGCGATGCCTCGGAACTTCACGTGCACTCGTACGTGCAGAGGAAGACGGTAGAAGAAGCGAGTACTTGGTTAAAGTAAAAAGTAGAACTGTATTTATAATAGTTAATGTCTGCAATAAAGCACTGTTTATCCTCATCTAACTATGTCCAAATACAAATGTATGTATCAACTATCTGCTCACCACTCATTGCGCGCGTCTGTCGTGGGGCGTCTTCGTTGGTCGATATAATGGCCTATATCGACCAATTAGGAACTACTCGTAAGTGCTGCAGAATATTTGTCCTTATGATAATATTCTGAGAATTTAACTCTTATAGTTATATTCTATTAACAATTTCGTATAAATTGTTATGTAACGATTCACCCCGTTACAAGTTACGTTGTGAGGATTGCAAGTAAGTCTGCTTTGGTGGCGCAGTGTTTGACAATCAAATTCATGTCGACCGTTTTACAAAGTGAAAGATGCGATAAAGATCGTGAGAGTGTGAGCTGCACCATGACAAGGTTACCACGTGTGACCTACCATCGATGTAATAATCAAGAACACTGTAGACTTCTCGATAAAGCCTGACAACGTTTTTTAGAATCTTAAATAGAGCTGGCCGTAATGCGTATTCTTTAATCCACATTGCAGAGCTGCACTTGCCTGAACAAGGGAGACGACACACAACCTACAACTGGATGAGGGCGGTAGTATCAGGACACGCTTATTATACCTAAATTTATCTACAGACTTCAGTGCTGACCCGCAATCGAAAGAGACAGACGCATTGCCACGCTGCATATAGGTGGTGACTCGTTTGCGAAGCATGCACGGCTCCATCGGAATCCATCGGCAATGTTGTGCAATCTGTTCAATCCGTTCATTACAGAGATGTTGAAAAGCAGGTTTATGAGCTGTACAAATAAGTGCTCGCTCGACTGCTGACGGGTGTCGTAGATTGCCTCGAAACAGCAGCAAGTACATGTAAATGACAACGAGCGGCGCTTCCACAAATGCCGAGCAGCTTGTAAGATGGTGCGGGTAACGAGAGTTGCAGATGCAAAGAGTAGCAGCCTTCGAGGACGCGTGGACACTATGAGTCGGTTCGTCCGGGATTGCCTGTGTTGCAGCACTATAAAATATGTAGGTGTCTGATCGAAGAATGAGGGACTCGCCAGTGGACACACAACATTTCGTACGCGCCTGTGCAATCATTAATCTCCACAGTATGCACACGTACAGGATGATGTCATCGTATAAAGCAGTGCTAAATTTATGCGTGCATCGAGATGCTAGAGTGCGGGCCCGAGTCGAAGCTACGCGTGTCTATTTAAATATCGACTTATGAACACATCTAAAAACCGACGGAGTGATTGTTGGTACATCGACGGCCATTTAGTAAGCTTTACCAAGTTTTATGCGGGCGACGACGGCCCCAAGTCGACAGATTATACATGTTTACGTTCGTAGAAGGACGTCAAACGTGCGCGCAATTGGCGACTTCAAACCGAGTACGTCCTCCTTTGACCTTATATCAGTATTCGTGTATGTGACTTCCCCTTCAACAGCCGAAGCACGCTAACAATATGAGCCTTCCCGTGAATTGTTAACGACATGATCATGTTGGCGCGCGGGTCACGCCTTTCGACTACATGATGTACGGTTGGATCACGCATCGACTCAAAGAGTCATATAATTACACCCACCCACCACTTTTGGTCTTCTTGAATACGCTTTCCGTGATCAAAGCTGGGCATGTGTAGATGTTTGCGAGCTCAAATTTCGTGGACTTGGACAATTACGTAGATTATCGACCGACTAGGATGCGCAAGAGATACATACGTAGATGCAAAGAATGCGTCTCGCGCAACCCGTTGATAGAGTATACACTAGACTTACAAGAGCTTTGCATCATGTGATCAGTCTCGATCGAATAAAAATCTGTTCATTCGACCTGGTGTTTTAAACTTTGTGTAAATGTTTCAGGCGTCTTGTACACTTTAACGAATGCTAAATATACTGTCCAGTATTCGCACTCTGCACATGTATATAGGGCGGCAATCGAGTCTAGCAGACTCCGGTGCGATAACGATGCATCGGCATGACCGCCATAGTCTGTAAGCCATCAATTCGTGCTCGTTCGACCGAATCGTTCAGCGTACCAAAGCCAAAAGCTGGGCACAAATCTGACCAGACATCTTTCTCGTCGGCGGGGCGTGAGCTCGAACCAGTCTAGAGACAGAAATATACTTGGGCATACATACGCCAGAAGTCGGTACGTATTTGGACGGGGTATGACAATCCGTAGGCCTGCGCAACGCGCCTGGTGAGCACGTAGAAAAAGCCGAAAAACTAGCCAAGCCGGTGCCTTTATAGTAGTGGACCCGCTACGCCATACAAACATCGTGTAATTGGTTCATTCCAACGACGGGGGTGTCCCGAAGGAGTGTCACTTCAAGACAGTGGTCCGGTCCGTAAAAGTTAGCCAATTATTAGAAGCAAGTGTGCAGGTTTAGGCTCCGCTAATCCTTTGATGTGTGAGCTGCTCGCTTGGATAAAGAGAGGCGCTCAAATATTTGTCACTTCGACGGCCTTCTCTCGCTACCGTGTATGCAGAACCACTTCTATGATGTATCCATGGTTGATGAGGTAACGTGTGGCGAGTACTTAACAACTCATACACACTAGTACAGAACCGCCAACAGTGCAATATTTGCACCTATGCAAGCCCATCTAATTTCCGTTTAAAATGAGACATTTGCTACCACCGTTTACTGCCCATGATAAATATGCTTCATGCAAGCTGCAGAGCTTTCGGATCAAGACTGCGGGGTAAAAAAGCCGAAGCCGCTTTGAGTGCAGAAACAGGACTGAATGTTGCCTGCTCTGTAAGGAATCGCATTTCTGCGATCTGCTGCTGCGCATCAAATCCATCGACAGCATTCTTCAAGTCACATGTCCATCACTTCTCGAATATTAGTGGCGCACGATCTGCTTGTCTGATCCTTTTAACCCATTAAAATTTGCCTTTGTGCTTTTAAGATCAATCATCACCATCACTATCTGACAAGGCTAGGTCTGCCACTTGCATATCAAATGTCGTCATCAGCGTCTGACGGATTTCAATGTATGAGAATCGATTAAGTGCCCATAAAGGCTCTGGCTTGGCAGGATGCGCTTTCTTTTAGTCAGCATGGCTTCCTGTTAATTCAGTCATTTACACGAGACGGGGCACAAGTGAGCCGGGGACATACAAGTAGCCTGGCACCAAAAGCTGATCAGGTTCCACACGAAATGGCTCCGAATATTCTTTACCTGACGATCTGCAGGTTTGCATCACTGCACACCCTCTACAGCGTTACGCCACATATGGCTCCTGGAAGTCCTGATTGCTCATCGAGCCAGGTACACTCCAAATAGCCGGGGACTTTCGCACGCATGAGACACTGCTAACAGTGCACGACTATGTGGCTAGAACACTGGTCGGTGGCAGCCACAATTTTTTTGCATTGCAATGCATTTTCTTACAGTGGCAACGCAAGTAGATCAAGAACAGAAAAGATGTCGTGCTGACGTTATATACTGAATGTATGCAAGGCTTTTTACAGTGTCCTGGTCCGATCAGGTACACAAAAGCAGTCGTCGCGCTGGTCTTGCCGCTGTCTGCGCTCAGCCTTGGTCCTTCTTTACCTCTCATACTAGAATATTTGACTTTGATCCCATCATTGGTGCATCCGCCAACTGGTAATGCAGCATCGGCTTTTGCCCGGCTGCAGACAATTTTTCGCAACTGCAACTGGACGTCGTCTGGTGATTGCTGACAACGGAAAGTTCTTGCAGCGGAGGCACAAAACTATACCTCTGGGCCGCTGTATCCCCTAAAAGAAGCTTCATTTACCAATTTGCGCTCGACAGCAATCACCCTATCCCGACGAACCATTCAATCCTGTCATGAAAGTTTTCTACATCCGTGCGCTCTGCTCTGCCGGCGTGCTGTCTATCATCTCTGACCGCGCGTATGGCGGCATCGAGCCAGATGTCGTGGCTTCTGGCGCTTGGACAATTGATCGAGAGGTGGCCAAGAGACAGCTGAGGACCTCTGCCGACGTCAAGTTCGATCACGAAGAACGAATGGAATTTCCAGGGCGACCGGCGATACCGGGGGCCGGTACCTCCGAGGCCATCTCGTCTGTACCGAATTCCGTATTGGACTTGGCTAGTATCATTCAAGGTACGAACAGTGAAGTTTCCCAGCACTTGAAAAATAATCTTCGAAATGTGCTTACCAAGGCGAAGCAGACTAGTGCTTCGGAGACTGACATACGTGAAGCAATTACTGCGCTGCAATCGTACAAGGCTGCGGGTGAAGTTAAGGTAAAGAAAGCGGGTGCTTCAGCTGATGCAACCTCGCAGGTTACCCTCGAAGGATTGAACAAGGCGATCGCTTACCTGGAAAGTCGACTTAAAAGATAGGTCGTCGATCTTAGAGGCAAGACCCAGTGGACACTTCTTGGGTGGGGACGCAACATCGTAGCCAGTGCACTAAAGTAATGAACGTTCTTCACTTTTCGTTTATTTCAAACATTCCTCGTGATATGCCTTCAGTGTGGAAGCAGGATGAGTCCGTTTGATAACATTCTACAGAAAGTAATTTTATGTGTGAATATTACGTTTGAGACATCCCATTCTCACAAAATTATTTATGGTGCCACTATGGCCACATGCGCTAATACTATGACCACATGCACTAATACTATGACCACGGATGCTAATACTACGGCCACAGACAAATCTAATAAAAGCACAGACAATTGACCCAGCCGACCACAGCTTAGAAACATTATTGTTACTACGCACTCCAGCCAATCAAATTATTTGTTTACTTATACACACGAGCTTCTGATTTTTATGCGTTTATATGTTGACTTTGTTCCGGCGTAATTAAGAGCCCTTTTTTTTGGTGGTAACTGCTGTCTATGTAACGGGGCACCCTGAATCTTGTACTGGTGACAGTACAGCTACTTATTCTGATGACAGAATAAGGCGGTGCCTCGGAACTTCACGTACACTCGTGCGTGCAGAGGAAGACGATAGAAGAAGCGAGTACTTAGTTTAAGCAAAATGCAGAACAGTATTTACAATAGTTAATGTCTGTAATAAACCCCTGTTAATCCTCATTATTACGGGGTGAATCGTTACATAACAATTTATACGAAATTGTTAATTGAATATAACTATAAGAGTTATATTCTCAGAATATTATCATAAGGACAAATATTCTGTAGCACTTACGAGTAGTTCCTAATTGGTTGATATAGGCCATTATATCGACCAACGAAGACGCGCCACGACAGACGCACGCAATGAGTGTTGAGCAGATAACTGATTTACACATTTGTATTTGGACATAGTTAGATGAAGATAAATAGTGATTTATTGCAGACATTAACTATTATAAATACAGTTCTACTTTTTACTTTAACCAAGTACTCGCTTCTTCTACCGTCTTCCTCTGCACGTACGAGTGCACGTGAAGTTCCGAGGCACCGCCTTATTCTGTCATCAGAATAAGTAGCTGTACTGTCACCAGTACAAGCTTCAGGGTGCCCCGTTACACATGGTAGCACTTCGTAGTCCGTCCAAGGACCGCGTTCACATCCAACATGAACATGTTAGATGATGGAGATGACCAAAGCTTTCACGCTACGCTTGACGGCTACTCCCATTTGAGCGATGTCGAATGGTATGCGGTTGAACGAATGGGTTCGACCATGGGCATCCATGCTGTTAGCGTCATGCTAGAGGCTCTCAATAGAGATGCCCAACATGCTACTATCGCCAAGTTCATTCAAAATGAACTTGACGCAGAACGCGAGAAAGTAGCCTTGCTTCACCAACAAGGTTCTCAACAAGCAGAGTTGTTGAGAGAACAGGGTGCTCAACAGTTTGAGCTGTTAAGACAGCAGCAGGCTGCTGCTGGTGGGTCGATGCACTCGCGTCGACCCGAGACTTTGAAGATTGACATCTCCAAGTATAGGGTAGTCGAAGAGGACTCCCTCTTGAGATGGTTCGTAGAATTGGATGACGCCATAAGGGCGCGTCGCATCGACGACGGGGAAATGCAAGTTGCATTTGCCCAGTCAAGCCTGGCAGGACGTGCCAAGACTTGGGCACTGGGGCTCAAGCTGCACGACCCATATGCGTTTGGGTCGTTGGAAGTCTTCAAGTCGCGGCTCAGACAAACGTTTGAACCGCCTAGAGCTGAGTTCAGGGCTCAAACCGAACTCTTGAAGCTCAAGCAGGGTAAGCGTGATGTGTACGCTAACGCGCAGCATATACGACATCTCACGAGATGTATAAGTTCCAATCCGGTGGATGAACACACGTTGGTTTCGGTGTTCATGCAGGGTCTTGCGGATGGTCCCGTCAAGACTCACCTGTTCCGGCTTGAACTAGACTTACTAGAACAAGCCATTTCCATTGCGGAACAGGAAGACTTCAGTCTGAGACAGGCTCGCGCCAGCTCGACATCACATCGTCAACCGAGACGATATGACAACGGAGGTCCAGAGTCGATGGAACTCTGTTATGTAGAGAGCGAGAAGGCTCGCTCTACAGGCTACAAGAAGTTGCAGAGATGCAACAGATGTCAAAAGACAGGACACTACGCTTACGAGTGTAGTGCCCCTCGTCCAGTGTCTCGCGACACTGGGCGTAGTGACCGTCCACCCATGAGAAAGGGGCAGGGACGAGGGTCCGCTGTTGGTGCAAAGACGCAACAACGGGATGGACCGTCAAAAAACGGACAGGACCAGTAGGTGCGGAGCACCCTACTGATCCAGCAACGTCAAGAGAATTTGTAGGCCTCTTGATGAAGGTTTCTCCCAACACACAAACGTTGTGCGTTGCTGCTCTAGGTAATGAGATCTCACTCATTACCTTGAAACTAGAAGTGACGAATAAGTTGTCCCTTCGAGCTCTAGTCGATTGTGGGTCGTCCAACAATTTTGTGCGACGCCAATCGCTAGAAGATGGTCACTTTAAGTTCAGTGAATGTGACACACCTCCTACGAGGATGACGGTACGTCTTGCGACAGGCGCATCCGTAACCGTCATGAAGCGTATAGTGAAGATCCACTATACGCTAAAAGATACCCAATATGACGATGACTTTATCGTATTGGATTTGGATGACAAATTTGATGTCATCCTTGGAATACCGTGGCTCAGAAGGTACGAACCACGGGTAAACTGGCAACATCGACCAGTAACGATGCCTGCCGCTTGTTCATCAGATGGCCACCTGATGAACGTTTTGGAGCGTCCACAAGCGTGTGGATGTACTACGAGTGAGTGCGATGGCCTCACTTGTGGTACGGTCGTTAGTACGACTGCACAAAACCTTAGTGTACCAAACGGTTACACTTCGGAGCAAAGTTCCGGCGGTTGTGAGGAAACACAGGCTGCGCCGAAGGTCCACCACTCGAATAAGTCGAGTGGACCGGGACAAAGATGTATTCCTAGCGGGGAACATCTAGAAGAGAAACAATCGATCGCTCAGGTTAAGCGAAACGATAATCCTAGATCGACTGGAGAGTCTTTCGTAGAGGATCTCGCTGTGGTTGCGCAACCACAGCTAGAGGAAGTAAAGGGAATAAGTCCCAATATTACAAATACGGCGGAGATAAGTTCCTCGAAACCCGAGGAAATAAGTCCCCGGGAAGCCAAAGGAATAAGTCCTTCGAGGCCTGAGGTAATAAGTCCCCAGGAAATGACAGAGACATTGAATGTCATAGTCAATGATGGATCAAGTGTAGGCGCTTATACACTTGATCTGATTGCGCCTCCGAAGTTGACTTCGGAGATCACTCAGTTGCCAACGCTCGAACATAAAAGGTTCTTGCGTGATCTGCGTAGTGGCAAAGTCAAGCAGATCTGCATACTCGTCGCTGACGACGAGTGTGTAACCGACATAAGGTCAGCAACAGTGTTTACTGAGAACGAGAGAGTTCTCAGTAGTTCATCTATGGACGAGAGTGTCCTAGATGAAAAGACACGAATTGAGCGATATGACTCCCAATCATGGGAATCGCTCAAGACAAATCGTCTCTATGAGGATTTGGTTGAATTCAAGGATGCATTCCCTGAAACTGTTCCGTGCGAATTACCGAAGGATAAAGGTATTCGACACGAGGTCGAGCTTAAACCAGGCTCGAAGTACTGTATCATGAAGCAGTGGCCACTGCCTCGTGAACAAGTACTTGCGATCGACAAGTTCTTTGCCGATAGTTTAGCTGCGGGCCATGTGAGGGAATCAACTTCCCCACATAGCTCTCCGACCTTCTGTGTGCAAAAAAAGCTACAGGAGGGTGGCGGATAGTGCATGCATTTAACAAGTTGAATGCTGCAACGGTACCGGCTCAGACGCCGATACCGAGGAAGGACGTAATCATTGATGGCATGTCAAAGAGTACATCTTTTCGTCTATGGATTTGATGGATGGCTTCTATCAAATCCTTATGCGGGAACGGGATATACCCTATACCGCAGTGAGCACGCCTAGCGGCATGCTCTGGGAATGGCTAGTAATGCCACAAGGGCTTAGTAATGCCCCTGCCACGTTCAACAGATGTGTATCACATCTGTTGAGACCAGTACGAGAATTCGCGCCGAGTTATTTCGATGACGTATTCATCCATAGTCGGGCTATGGATGGAAATTCGGATGTTGAGGATCACAGGTACCACGTCCGACAGGTTCTTACAATCATGCGAAAGCATCAATTGTATGCAAACCTCAAGAAGTGTATATTTGCAGCAAGCGAAATACCACTTCTTGGGTGCATCGTTGGTAAGAACGGTGTACGTCCTGATCCCGAAAAGATCAAGGCGACCACCGACTGGCCTGTGCCGGTTGATGTCAAAGGTCATCGAAAATTCCTTGGGCTAGCGGCGTATTTGCATATGTATTCACGCAATTGCGCCAAGATGACTGTACACCTCTCTCGTTTGTTGAAAAAGAACGAGAGGTGGTTATGGAACGCTGAATGTCAGCGCTCCTTTGATGGTGTCAAGCAGAGCTTGATACAATCCCCAGTCCTTGCAATTGCCGATCAGGACAGGCCATTTCATGTGGTCTGTGATGCCAGCGATTTCTCAATCGGCTGTGCATTAATGCAGTACGATCTTGAAGGCGTTGAACGCGTCGTCTGCTATCAGCCGCGTCAGCTGCGACCAGCTGAGCGGAACTATCCAGTGCATGACAAGGAACTAATTGCCATGAAGTATGCACTCGCGAAGCTCAGAGTCTATCTCTTAGGAGATAGACCCTTCATTGTTTACTTTGAGCATGCGTCATTACGCACGGCAGTGAACAGCCCGCACCTCTCACAACGAATGGCGCGGTGGTTGTCATTCTTTGCAGAATACAACTTTACGGTCGAGTACAAACCAGGACGACATAATGTCGTCGCTGATGCACTCTCACGTCGTCCCGACTTTGAATCAGTCGTGAAACCCAACAGTGAGACAGTTACTGTTGCGGTTAGGACGTCCACCATACCATCTTCAACGTTACATGATGATGTGAGGCGGGCGTATGCCCAAGATGGTGAGATTGTGAAGTTGTTGACACATCTCTCACAGCCATCTCGAGAATCGTTGAAACGATTATAGTCTGCACGTCGATCTGCATCAGATCGATACACTACTCGCAACGGTTTACTGTTTCTTACAGGTGTTACTGGTGACACACCACGTGTTGACATTCCCGATGATACTGATCTGCGTTTGCGGATCATGTTCGAGTATCACGATGCTCCTATAGGAGGACATCGTGGCCGGGAGAAAACGGATCTCACGGTGAGTCGAGACTTTTACTGGCCCCGCCAGTATAAGTTTGTGCGACAGTATGCTCGTGCATGCGAAGTCTGTCAACGAGTGAAGTCAAGTCCTTCACTGCGTGCACCTTTACAGCCTCTACCGGTTCCGGCTGAGTACTAAGAATCCATCTCGATGGATTTCGTCTTCGGGTTACCCAAAGACGCACGCGGGAATACGGGTATTCTCGTATTTGTTGACAGATTCAGCAAAATGGTGCACCTAGTGGCTGTACCAGAGTCAATCACGGCAAGTGGCTGTGCTTGTGTCTTTATTGACACCATCTTCCGACTTCATGGGTTGCCCCGTGAACTCGTATCAGACAGAGATCCACGATTCACTGCTGATTTCTGGCGTTCCGTGTTCAAATCACTCGGAACGCGCTTGAAGATGTCTACGTCTGATCATCCAGAGTCAGATGGTCAGACGGAACGAGCCAATCGTGTCCTTGAAGAGATACTTCGAGGATACGTACACTCCTTTCAGAGTCGGAGTGAGTTTTTGCCAATGGTAGAGTTTGCCATTAACAACTCGGTGCATGCGTCCACGACACATACACCGTTTACGTGAATGGCTTTCGCCATCCGCGTGTACCCACCTTACTAGAGTGTAACTCTGGTTTAATGGGGGGGAACCGCGCGAGCAAAAACCGAATTGGTTCAAGCTCATCACGCTCTGACGAATGGTCATTGCGTTTGATGCCGATATCGACAACATCGATATCGAAGAAGATGATGCCAGTGAGAGCGAGGAAGCCCTCACTGAAGTAAAGATTGATGTTGCTGCAGTGCACTCACAGCGCACTGAAGCTAACGAGTCATCAGATGAGTTCATACTGGCTCGTGAAACGGTAGTCCGTTTTGTGCAAGACTCCATCGCCGAAGCGGTGGATAAGCAAAAGCAAAACGCTGACAAGAATGGAAGGGCAAACACTCTTTTATTCAATGAAGGTGACTTAGTCCTACTGTCTACGGTTAATCTACCAAAGCATGTAGTGACTAACTTGGGTAGCAGAAAACTACTACCCAAGTACATCGGCCCATTTCGTGTATTGCATCGCCTAGGCAATGCATACACGATCGAGTTGCCACGTAAGATGCGAACGCATCCCACGTTTTACGTTGGTCGGCTTAAGCCGTACCATCAGTACGCTGCTTCTTCCGATGAAGAACGCCCTTGCGCTCAAGCATCTCGCAGAGAGCCTTATGCTCCCGATGGTGGGCATCGACAAGGGTCTGAAGAGCAGTTATCTCAGCCCGAGACCGATCAACAATCCACACGAGCTACCCTTAGCTCGTCACGAAGAGATGTCAGAGCTCTCTCGTTCTCTAGCTGAGCAAAGGCAAGCTCTGCTCGATGCTTCAAGACAGCGTCATCCAGTTGGAGACGTCCGTCCCGCTCATGTTCGAGATCGCCGCGTAACCCTTGCGTTACGCGATCAAAGAAGCTCTCGGGAACACACCGATCCACATGATCGTGTGGAGAGCGTCTTCCCTCCTCCTCCACCTCCGTTAGAGGACTCTCGCGGTGGCCAGCGCTATCTAGTTGAGCAACTGTTGAACCACCGCGACGTGAACGGACGTCGGACGAGTTATCTCGTCCGGTGCCGCGGCTTTCCCCCATCCTGGGATTCTTGGGAGCCCCGCTCCCAACTGATGGCTGATGTACTGGGTCTGGTTGAGAAGTACGACGCGGCACATCCTGTGCCGCAGAAGGACCGCCGGAGAAAGTCTTCCCGGCACGGTCATAAAGGGATTTCAGGTTGTCAATCCCTTCGTACGTCTCAGTAGAGATACGTACGCGCCACCACGGGCTATTAGGGAGGTAATCCTCCTTAGGTGCTCGTGCAGAGTTGTTCACACAACATGGGCACGAGTCTCCCCAAGAGAGGCAGGGTAATCCTTTCTCCCTAGACAGACGATGCAGCTTGTAGCGTGCACCTGTCGGGGTTCGCTTTTTAAACTTATCACGAGCTATGATAAGTTCGTCGTTCCAAACGTCACGACCTACATCCTCAAGGTTATGGATGTAGACGTTCCACGTTTGAAGTAGTGAGGGACCATCACGCTTGTGATTCCCACTGTACCATCGATGTCTAAAGAAAGCATCGGTGAAGAATTCATTCTCAGCGCGATAGTTTTTCGCGCTGGGGTCAAGGTGATGGATCCTTGACGAATCGAACAATCGAGTTCGATAGCGATCACCGTCGTCGCCGACAAGTGATCCATGACGGATTTAGGAGGCATCCATGCCTTCTTCTCAGGAGCGAGACGCAAGACGCTGCGGTCCCGCTCTTCCTGCGACGTGCCGACAGAAGGACTGTCACCTCGTTGCGAAGTGGTGTCAATATGAGAACCGACACCACTGTTAGCGCCCGAGTCTCGCGACCTCGAGCGCCTTCGCTCCGGCAATGGTTCATCTGATTCATCAGACGAACCAAAGATGCTACGACGCATAGCATCATCCATGCCACGCTTGGCAGGCGGCTTGGATTCGATCGCCGTTGATACGGATCCGTCTTCCGTATCAGGAGAGTATGAGACACCGAGCTCATACTCTGTGAAGACATGAGTGTCTTCATAACGAGCGCCTGCATCACCAGGTGATACAGACTGAGACGCTATGGCAACCGATGAGACATCAGTTGCTGTGGTTTCTGCTTCGGCGTCCGCACAGAGACGTGCGGACGCGCTCTCGGCGTCCTTGCTCGCGCACCGCATGGGCTTGTTAACCATGCGATGAATTGTTGGAAAGTGGACTCGGACCAACAAGTGCAAAACCTGTCCCAAATGATTTGGACGAGTATCCATTTAGTCAATCAGTCACTAAAGTGACTGATGATTAAGGGGGGGGTGATGTAACGGGGTGAATCGTTACATAACAATTTATACGAAATTGTTAATTGAATATAACTATAAGAGTTATATTCTCAAAATGTTGTCATAAGGACAAAGATTCTGCAGCACTTACGAGTAGTTCCTAATTGGTCGATATAGGCCATTATATCGACCAACGAAGACGCGCCACGACAGACGCACGCAATGAGTGGTGAGCACATAGTTGATACATACATTTGTATTTGGACATAGTTAGATGAGGATGAACAGTGGTTCATTAACAGACGTTAACTATTGTAAATACTGTTCTACTTTTTACTTTAACCAAGTACTCGCTTCTTCTACCGTCTTCCTCTGCACGTACGAGTGCACGTGACGTTCCGAGGCACCGCCTTATTCTGTCATCAGAAAAAGTAGCTTGTACTGTTACCAGTACAAGCTTCAGGGTGCCCCGTTACATCGTGAGCAAAAGCAATGTCACGATAGAGGTGCCAGGTAATAGCTGAATTGATAGATGGTGACGAAAATAACGAGGGAATTAAAGTAAGTTATAATAGTTAGTTAAATTGGCAATGACGCAGTCTTAACGTAACAACAAAACAATTGCCGAGTAAATCAGCGCATTTCGGCTAGTACGTCAAGATCAATTTCCTAGCAGTCCGCTT